AAATGTTGTTTTGCAATATACTCCTGTATGGATCAATATCCTTATTTTTTTTACCTAATATCTCCCCTTCCTTTCACAGTACTTTTAGCAAATGCTGCATGTTTTTTCTAGTACTGCGTTCTCACTTTGAATTTGTCCTTATTGTCCAGCATTCCTGTTTCTCACTGCTTACAACATCCCTCCGAAATGGTTGAATTACAAGGATTATCACAACATAAACTTGCTGGGGAAACAAGGTAAAGTAATCAAATACTGTGGAATACTTTATTTTCGCTGGAATTAATTTTCGCTGAAAAGGCTTTTTGGGCCTTTTGGTTGGAATTTATTTTCACTGATTTTTGATGAGATTAATGTGAAATATAGGAAAAAAAGTATATTCGCTGGATTTTATTTTCACGGAATCATCCCTTCAGCGAAAGTAGCGAAAATAAATTCCAAGCGAAAATAAAGTATTCTACAGTATAGTGTTCTATCAAGCTTTGAACAAATTCTTGATTTCATGACCTAAGATGACCAAGGAAAGCTATTCATATTAGTAATAATATATGTCATTGTTTGTATTATACTGTTAGATTGTGTACTGTTAGTTGTTGCATTTATACCACACTCTTTGTCATGTGACCACTTGTCCTGGCCAAGTGTAACAGTACAATGTAACAGTGTTTTTTGTCATACATTTTGTACATGTATGCATGTTATGAAAACACTCACAATGTTATTTCATGCATACATCATGTACGTAGATAAAATTAATAATTTGATTAACTATACATGTAATTTCTACTTCAAATCCACAAATCATACAGCACATTTACCGGTTCTTTCTCAGATTGATTTGTCATATGGGATTAGTTTTAAAGGGTAAAGATGAAAATAACATTTCCCACTGACATTGGCATATATACATGTAACTGTATTTTTTACTGTAAAACATCTCATTTGTTGACATGTAGGGGTTACTATAGATGCACTCAAGGTAGGCTAACTGGCAAAGGATGGTGTGGTTATGTGGTGAACCAACAGGTACAGTCATTGCTCTTTTCAAGCATGTATTTGCAGGTTTTTTAATTCTTTGAATGCCAGAGTTGTCATTTTTTCCAGATTTAAAAAAAAATGTGATCAAGACTACAGGTCTAATATATTCACACTAATATATTCTCTTCGTAGTCTAAAATTAATAAAGAAAAATTAAAAAAAATATGTCAAAATGTGTACCAACATTTAAAAAGTTAAATCCATAGTTTCATCAATGAAGCAACAACTTCTATGCTTAGTCGTGAAAATTCCATTTTTTTAGCACAATTGGTAAAAATTGCTATTTTGTTGACATTGAATGAATAAATGGAGAAAAAAAGAGGTTCTATGTGAATGAAGAACAACACTACACAACAGTTCCCCAAAGTCAAAGAATTACCGAGGGGTTAATGTTGAAAAAGTATGAATAGAAAGTTGCTTGTTTTTCTCAGGAAATAGACAAGTTTGTTTTCTCACGTATACAATGTACATGTATTTATTTCATATGTTCTATTAGTAGTTCATGTGGCACAGTGCATGCATACATCACAGAGATGTTCCCATGGGCAAAATTATTTTAATGGATCAAAATACAGCAAATGACATGTTTGGTTCATAGGCATTCTATTGGAGTTACATTTCTAATGGAGCTATTCACTATTTTGTATTTTGTCCATTTCAGAATGCGATTAGCAAAGAAAATGACTGCGTTAAACCAAAACAAAAAATATCTCCTTGTGAGGTGAGTCTTCAATTTCATTTTTCTTCGTGTGTATCTTTTTTTAAAATCAACGATGCAACTTTTAAAATGGACATTTGAAATTGTCTGTTAACGCAACGCACATCGAATATTGACATGTCAAGTTTGTTACTATTGGTATGCAATTTCAACTCGGTCATGGAAAGACATAAGAAATGTCATATGGTAGCATTTCGTAAGCCAATGTCATTTACACTTGCAAATATTTTCAGGGATATTTTAGACTCTGTATTATATTTTTTTACCAGGGAAGTACACCTAATTTAGCACTTCAGAGAATGTCATTGCATTCCGTCCTTGTTGCTTACAGTTTGTGGTTTGGAATTTTAACGCAACAGGTTTATTTAGCCTGGTTACCTTCCTGTTATTTTATTGGTCCTTCAACTCAAAATATTGCTTACATTGTATCTTCACAGTCAGTAAATAAACACGACGTTGATTGGTTGATAAATATAGCATGCTGCTAATTTGAATATGCTAATTTCCCAAACAATGGATGACAATGTATGTTTCACCATGAGCTGCATCGACTGATAGTTGCTAAAGAAATGAAAGTGCAACTGCCGCATTTTTCATGACAGAATAACTTTACATAGTTAAGGTAGAGATGCAAATTACCTGACAGGTATTTTAATTAGTTAATTAGGAAACCAAAATGACCTCCCTTGTCCACAAAACTATGTTTTCGGAAAGCTTATTGTATGAATTTTAAAATATTGTTAGTATTATTTTTTATGGACACTGTAGTTTGAAATATGCACAGAAATCTGCTTTTTTTGTCAAAAGTGATTTAAAAAAAATTAGCTCCTAAACCATGCTTATGTTTCCTGTCAAAATTGGTTTACGGGTACATCTGTTTACTATGAAGAAAGTGCCGTCTTGAAAACTGTCTACCAGCTTCAATTTTGCAGGGCAGCAGCCCAAATTTCACTACTTCAAGTTTATGCATAAATTAACACCCAGGCTAGTTGTCTCTACGATTGTTGTAACACTGTTCAACCAAAAACAATGCCCCGACGGCGTTTTGAAGATAAATACATTGTCAATCATTTGTGAAAATTTCAAAACAAAAGGTCAAAGCGTCTAGGAGCTATTTTTTTTTAAAGTTCTGGGATGTACACTAAAAAGAAGCCGAGATAATTTCTAATTTGCATAACAATTCACTCAGTAAAAAGTTTGCTAATGCTCATAATTAAAATGGCTGTAACAGTTCCAAATTTAAATGTATTATCGTTTTGTTAAAATTTAAATATAGTGCATAATATGGAGATCCCATCATTTCTTTTTTTCACCACGTTTCATTTTTATTATTCATGTACAGCCTTGCTAAATCTTGCTAAGCATTCAAAAGAGAGAATGTTTGCACCTGTTATCTATATTTTAAAATCGTTTTTTGAGTATGTTCCACTATTCACAATTCTACAAAATTTTAACAGTCTATAGCCAAGACTGTTTGGATAATAAAAACCAAAAAAAAAAATTTCACTCCCAAGTGCCCACAAACCTGCATTCCTACCTTAATGAGCAAAATCTTGAAAACGTCTCCAGACTATTATGGAGAGGACTAACAAATAACAGAAAGGTAACCAGACTAATTAATGTACTAATTTTTCAAACATAATTAACAATGAGACTATTGTATTATTTTTTTTACATAAGAAACCTGTTCCTGCTCCTGCTTTGAAAGATAACACTGGTCTCATCAATAGAAAGAAAGATCCTGTCGCAGTGAGACATAATAGTGATCCGAATACTGCTTCTGTCCTCACGTCACAGGTTACCGGTAATAATAAACCGACAAGACCTACTTCCAAGGATGATGATAGTGATGATGACTGTTTCATCACTGATGTTTCTTTTGCTAGTGTGAAAGCCACTAAACCATCAAGTGCTACATTTCACAAACCTCAAGCAGCAAAGAAAAATGACGATCCAATGTGGAGTAGTCCTTCTTTTCAAAAATATAGAAGTGCATCAACATCCATTATGCCAAGAGAAGCAGCTGTGCCATTAGAAAGAAGGTTCTCTGAAAACTCTCTTCCAAGTCAGTCTCAAACTGTAAATAAGGATTCAGGAAAAGCAGGGACTGATTATACAGAGCAAGTGGGGTCAATGTCAAGTACTGGCATCCAACAAGTTCATGTACAGCAAGGTGCAATGTCTGTTAACTTGAGTGAAGATGCGAATAAGCCAATTAGCAACACGTCAACTGTACCACAGAGTGGAGCTCCATCATCTCAGTTCTTATCTCTACCTGTTAAAGAGTCTAATGTCGTGGTCGCTCAAATTCTGATGTCTCAACTCAAGAAGCAGAAGGTGGGTCAATATACAGATATTTTGTTGTCCCAATCCCAAGGAAAGTGCAGACTACTAACAACTATTTTGTAAATTTGAGATTGAAAAGAGGGAACTGGTAGTGAAAAGGTTAAGATAAAAGGTTGTCATAAATGAAGAATTGTATCTTGTGGTTCAATAACTTTAATTCAGATGATTTACAGCTTGGATATATTGTCTATAGAAACACCACACTCACACCACAATTAAATTGATATACCGTAGTGTATATTTTAAAGATATTTCTGAAAATGTAGTTTAAAAGTCATTATTTTTATTGCAGGCTATTGTAAAATCTGTGAATGTGCAGATGTTACCAGACAAAGGCGCAAAACTATACAGTCAAATACGATCACTAGAAGCAAAGATTGCTAACTTGAATCTAAATAAAGATGAACTACAGAAGTTACGAAGTGATGCAACAGCAGCCCCAGGTTCAGGTTCTAATTCTTCTTTCAAGCATCGTAACATTGCACAGAGTCAGCATAATCCAATGGCTGCACGCTTTGTGCCACGACAGTCAAGCGTTTTTGGTGTGTTTTTTTATTTGATTTCATTGGCATGCAAGTAGTCAGTAGGTTGTGTTTAATCAATAGTAGAGTTTCTGCTTTCCAGGTTGCTTCACTACCATGTGTACTAGGGTGGAGTGTGGGTCAATCAGTGTTGATTCACTTAGCAGGTGTATACAGTTTTCGATGGATATTTTTTTATTCAAGCTTCAGTTTATTCTGAACATGTTGATTTTATATTTTGTGCACCCACGTTACTTTTGAAAGTTTAAGAAAATTGCGCAAAGTATAAAAAGAATATATTTTTCATTCATACATACACACACAATTGAGTATTGTAAAATACTTTCTGTTTGCTTGGAATTAATTTTCCCTATATTTTTGCTGAAGGAATGATTCAGTGTGAACAAAATCACAAAACATACAAAACACCCAAAAAGTCTTTTCGGAGAAAATTAAGTATTTTACAGTATGTAAAATATAACGTCTTAGTATCTAGAAATGTTTTTGTATGATTTGTCTAGGAATTCAATAGATATACACAACATAAAAATATATCTATATTTAAGTTGTGAAACTTCCCCCTGTTCTGTTGAGCACACTGAATAGCATAGCAATCTGGAATCTAGTTTTTTGTAGTATTTCCTTTTTCACATGAAGTATTAACATACAGTAAGCCTTGTATGTACATTTAACCAACTAAAGACACACATCTTGGTAATTTCTGGGTATTGTCCAAAAATATTCAATGATGAACCTAGGTTTTTTCGATGTTGACCTTTCATTTGAGGTAAGAGGTAAATCCTTAAAAAGTACCAGGATGTGTGACCTTTAGGTGTGATGCATAAGGCCTGTTGGTCCACACAATGATGAATATAGAATTTTCACATGTAAACTATATATAACTAACAGACATCAATTAAAAATCCCACTGTAGTTATTTTATTTGCTCTATCAGTACTGCAAACCTTTGCTTACATAAATGCTTAAGAGATGTGTCTACCTGTCAAAATATTTTAATAAATCCATTTTCTGAATTTGGGCACTTCTATTAGAGATGCATTTCTAATAGAGCAAATACGGTATCTCATCAGAACATGTTTTTTCAATTGAAGTCATTTTCATAATTTGAATATATTTTTCAGAATGTGAAATTGACAAATGTATTTCTCTCATTGCCCATTTTAAGACATCCATGTACAAGGTGAATGTAACAGTGTATCATGTATGACGTTTGTATTTTTATCTTTTTTAGCTGGTGGTTTCCAGCCTGCAAGTACTGTTTCTACCCAACACATGGCTCCAAAGAATTATGTTGGTCCTTTGGATATGTACGCCATTAAGCAATCTGAGATTGGTCCACAGTACACACCATCGTATATGCCCTATCAGTATGCAGGTTGGTATTTGATCACGAACGTCTACTTTACTCATCTTACACAGAAAACACCTGCAAACAATTTTATTTTAAAAAATGTGGTAGAACATTATCACTTTACTTCACAAGCTTTTTCAAAAGCCCACATCAATTCTCAGATGTATTTACTGTAAAGTGACTAATTTTCGCTGGGTTTAAATTTTGTTGATTTACCATTTCAGGCATATTCAGTGGGTTTTAAATTCCTGATTTTATCATTTAGATAATGTGTTCTATGCTAAATTTTACATATTCACTGGGTTTTAATTTAGCACATTTTCCAGTCAGCAAAATAAGCAAAATTAAAACCCAGTGAATAATTAACCCTTTTACAGTAGATTGTAAAATACACTTTAATTATTAACAACCGCAACGTCAAACAAACATAGTTACAATTACATCCTTTTATGGTCACTGATCAGTGAACATGCCAGAGGAAGCTCCCCGTAGATACGCTATAATAAAGACAATTATTACAGATACAGTGGACAGTAGTCTCAGATTATTGAATTATTAACAGATTATTTGCGTTAAATATTTTTAATTTAGCAAATCCACAAATGGAGTCCTTGTATGGAGGTAGGATTACAGCTGCAAGACTGAGAGATATCACTATGGTAACCAGAGATGCTATTGACAAATTGCACAGGTATGACCACATCTAACAATGCATAGTGATACATTGGAAAGGATGTATTGTAAACTTTCACAACTAGAAATTTCATGATCTGTTAATTTGTAATAGTGATAAGGACTGTAAACTCAATATTACATTTATTATACACGTGTATATTGGATCTTTAAAATATGTTTTTGTTTGGTGTTACACACAAACGCCTGTTATTTACATAAGCACATGTGTAACTAATAGAATTACCCCGGTAATACAAAGCTGTGAAATATTTTTGCCACTAAGAATTTTATAATTTGGAGCCTTTTGGAGATACAACATTTTTGACTGAATCAAAAAAAATACAAGCTTTCGTAGCAGTATTTTGTAGTCTTGACTTGCATCTTAGACATGCCTACACCAATCACAATCAAACTTAACACATACATCATACATAATATTATACATATGGTATGCACATCAATTTGTTTCACGATCTGATTAAAGATGACCAATGGTGGCCATTTTTGTGCTAAAGCTAAGCATTTATGGATGGATTTTGTTTAAACTTGGTACATACGTTGGACATTATGGGACCTTGATGCACATCATTTTATTTTTCAGATCAATTTAAAATGGCCGACTGGCGGCCATTTTGTTTTAATCAATGCAGTTCTAGTGCCATATCTCTGCCATGCTTTGACTGATTATGTTAAAATTTTATATATCTATTATTAATCATGACATAGATATATTGGTTTGACTATCTGATTCATAATGGCCAAATGGCAGCCGTTTTTGTGCTAAAAAAGGTACATACATTAGAGATTATGGGTTCCCGATGCATGTCATTTTATTTTTGCAGATCGGATTCAAAATGGCTGACTGGTGGCCATTTTGTTTAAATTAATGCGCTTCTAGAGCCATATCTCTGATATGCTTTGACTGATTATGTTAAAATTTTATATATTCATTTTACATCATGTTATAGATATAGATGTATTCAAAATGGCTGACTGGTGGCCATTTTCTTTTAATTACATGTAATGCTGTTCCAGAGCAATATTTCTCAATACAGACAAGTACTTGTTTGACGATCATATACAAGATCTCAATCATTTTAATGTTAAAAAAATCATCATAATCAAGCATCATTTTCTGGATCCATATTTCTGACATGTTTATGTTCCAACTATATTACTATACACACAACTCGCTGTATACATCACATATTACTGATGCTTACAGTACTTGCCTGGTGTTGTTGTCATGTCTTGTGTCTCGTAGTGACAATATTGTTTGTTTCAGATCATTAGAGACATGTCCCTCTCCTGACACAGAGTTAGATGACCCAAAGGGATTAACAGTACCATTGATGACTCACCAGAAACGTGCGTTAGCCTGGCTGAGGTGGAGAGAAGGACAACACCCATGTGGTGGCATATTAGGTAGGTTTCACTCCCTGGCTGATGTGAAGAGAACAGCATTATGTATTACGTCTAGATCAATGTTGAATCTCTGACGCACAGCTTATAATGGATTGTTTGTTTTTATCTCAGCTGATGATATGGGTCTTGGTAAGACGTTAACTATGATCTCGTTTGTATTGAAACAAAGAGAAGCTATGGGTCAAGTTACAGTGCATGATGAAGTTGTCGAAGACAAAGGTATGTTTTAAACATAGCAATAAGTTGAACTGTACCTATATAAACAAATGATTATAGACCGACTGGCTGCAAAGTGTGATTCAGTGACACTATCCAGTGAACCTGCATATGATTTGCAATAAAAAGCAGATAATGAATAAAATCAACATAATTAATTTGTCTATAGATAGTGGATTCATGAAATCGTTGTGTACTTTAGTAATATGCCCTGCATCCCTAATGCATCAATGGAAAAAGGAGGCAGAGAATCGATGTACTGCTGGTAAACTAAAAATGTATGTGTATCATGGACAGAATAGAGAAAAAAATGTAAAAAAGTGAGTATATATCACCTGCATTTAGTTTACTCTGAAATAGAATTGCTGAGTTTTGAGTTATCTGGTTGCTCTGTTACTAATTCTCAGTGTGTCCAAATCATGGCAACCAGTTCAATTTCCTATTTTATTGTTTGTTTTAATATCATTATCCAACACTTTGTAATAGTTGACAGAGATTCAGCTCTACTGGTATTTTGAATAAGCGAATGCTTGAATATTCCCCCCAATTCATTACTTAAATATGTCACATACTGGTATAATACATATATACCCCAATAAAGCCATATGAATAGTCTCAGGGAGTGCATCTTTATCCCTGCTTATAGTCTGCACTTTCCCTCAGAAGATTTGGACAAAAATAGCCAAATTTTGTTAGTAAAAACTGAAAATAGACCCAATTTTTGTTTGTTGGCATAAAAATTAGGATTCATTACTAAAAATATTAAAGAATATAAGAAAAAAAAATTCCAAAAAATTTGGGCGAGACAGTCTAATGCTGAAAAGGTTATAATTAAATTCAGAAAAATTGAATATTCACAATTGAGTTCAGTGAATGTCTGAAACAGTCAATAATATTTGCCATATTTACTCAACAAACATTATTGTCAAAGGGTCAACTGAGAAGAGGGACATCACAAATTCAAAATTGCCAATTTAGTGTGGGTATGAACACATACAAGCTGGGATACAATGTGCTTGCTGTGAGTGTTGTATCTTTCACTAACACATACTTTGTTACACAGGTTGGCAAGCTATGATATCATTTTCACCACTTACAATATAATTGGTAAAGAGGTTCCTGTTTCTAAAGAAGATAAGGCTGATACCAAAGTTGAGGTTAGACATTATAAATTTATTACATTGTGATTATGATAGTGTAATGTTTTGTCTGTTGTGCGACCATGATTCAAATCCACAATATATAGTAACAAGGATTTATAAGATAAAATAAGGTTATGCAAAATTCATAACCATGTATAACAAAGATCTTACAAGAACCTTTGGATTCCCATTTTGTTAATTGGACGTAGTTCTAACCAATAGTGTCTCAGAATGCATTTTGTGCTTGGAAAAATTACTTTACGAATAATCAAGGACACTACCAAAAACTCACTAATTTGAATTAAAATTCTTAGAAATGTAGGTTTCTTGCAATTTAAGTGAAACCTTCTTAACATGTCACACCCTTGCATTTATACCCTCATTTATAAATCTTTGATAGTATGTAAGATTTGTAGCTTACTCTTGCACATGTTGGGTTCAACATTATTACTACTAGTTAATACATTTGATGCCAAAGTGTTAACACTTTTGAGATGCAAGTTGGTTTTACATGTCGAGACCCAATTGAGGATGGCAATTTGTTTATTTTTGCACATTTCTATTTCAAAACAATTGATTTTTGTCTTTTATAGGATGGACTCAAGTTAAGTGAAAAACTAAGTGATAACACTACATTGTTAAAAATTGCATGGGAAAGAATTATCTTGGATGAAGCACACACTATAAAGAATCATAAAAGTCAAATGGCAAAGGCTGTGTGTCGTTTGAGAGCTCGTAGTCGATGGGCTGTTACTGGTACCCCTATACAGAATCAGCTGTCGGATATGTACTCATTGCTCAGGTATGGCACAAGCATTAATATTATCTTTCATGCATTTTGTTCTTAAGAATGAATACTGCAAGCATTTGTCAACTATGTCAATCAACCTACATACACTAATCACACATTTCAATTCAATTTTCAACTACCGTACTTCCCCGAGTATATAAGCCCAGGGGCCTGAACATGTAAAATCGGGAAAATTAGAGGGTGGGCTTATACCATCTTCCCAACATTGAAAAATTATCCAAATTACATTTTTAGTTCACAGCGCCGGTCTCGGAGAAATATTATGTCTTTTTGATTTCCATGACACTTTTTACAATGAAGAAACAAATATGTTCATAAAAATACACACATTTTATTACAATACAATTTACATACCGTCTGAATTTACGGTGCAAAAATGGGTAGGGTCTGTGGGGAAACTGTCTAAGGCAAGATCTTTATCATTATTTTCGTTGTGGAATGTTTTTGATCGTACGCAAACTCTCGATACAAAGCAATTTCCGCCATGGTGTTTTTCATCATGATTTGACCTGAACAACTTCCTTTGACCTAACAGGTCACGTCTTTCGTTAATCGATCAAAATGCTGTGTCGTACAGACGAAGTTTTCCGATTATTGACGAAGTATTTTTTTCAATGCAATGCGGAAGTGAATTACTGCGATGTTAAAATGCGATCTGATTTCGACAAAAAACAGTGATTTTTTTCCCCTAAAGCTGTTGGTTCGCAATTTTAGAAAGGTAAACTGAGGGTGGGGGAAGTATTTAAACTTTTCAGGTCGCCAACAAGTCATGTCGAAGAATAGTTTGCTCGTTCTCATCCCATTCACCACAGTGGGACTGTGCATTCACGAAGGTCTCAATGGACACGATTATTCGGAAAAGTAAAACTATGTTCAATGACCAGGTTTCACGACTTGACGATCACATTTTTGACGTTTCTAAAACTACTATTCAAAAGCAATATGGATTACTTCAGTATTGCAACATCGGGATTCATCGTGAGTAATTAACAGAATAGAAAAGGTGCGAACCATGTTCCATACGTTCGCCGGCCATGCACTCTGAAATTAATGCGAGTTCTCTCGTAAAAGTAGGAACCAAACTACCATACCAGTCACGATTACATGTATTATGCAATGAAATACACTTTTTACATGCATATTTTAATAAATGTCGTTGACGCCCGGTAAAAACACCCTGGGCCTATACTCGGGGATGCCCTCAACTTGTTAAATGTCTAAAAACAGAGGGGTGGGCTTATACTAGGGGAGGGGCTTGTACTCGGGGAAGTATGGTAACAGAAACTAGCATATTTCAATCATTTGACAAACTTTCAATCAACCTGCACACACGAGCACAAATCAGATCAGCCGCACAAACTAGCACAATTAAATCAACCAGCATACACTAGCACAATCAACCAGCACATTTAAATCAGTCAGCACACACTAGCACATTTCAATCAACTATCACACACTAGCACATTTCAATCAACTATCACACACTACCACACCAGCATGTTGACACCTATGAATTGATACATGTTTATATATTATGTTAGGTTTCTTAGATGTTCTCCATTTGATGAATTGCAAGTTTGGAAAAGATGGGTAGAAAATAAAGGAAGTAAGTCATTACTATTGTTACTATAAGCCCAAATCAAAAACACAAGTTCTGATTGAAGGCCTAATCTAAGCCCAAATAGTTGTTGTGGGAACAAGGATACCATGTTTACAATATTGTTTTGTAAAAATCACAATTCACAAAAATTTAGGCTCTTCAGACATGTGAGGTTAAATCCTGAATTCATTCAAATTTTTTTCTATCGACAATGACATTGAAAAGTACCACAAAACTAACATACAGATGTTCACTCTTATACAGCTGCTGGATCAGCAAGGCTGAATACCATTGTGAAAAGTTTGCTACTCAGAAGAACTAAAGAAGACAAAGGGAAAACTGGAAAACCTTTGGTAAGTCATTCTTACATTACTTGCGGTAGTACTTGCTCTTTAAGTAACACGAGCATTTGCGTAAATTATGGGTGTGTAATGGTCAAAAGAACTTGTATTAAAAGGATTTCGGGAAGTGCTGTGGGCAGAATTATGGAAGTATGGTTTTTTCAAATTCATGGTGCTAAGTTATTGTCTATTAATGTGCCAAGTTTTGTAAATACAGAAAACCTGCTTATAAATAGATAACAAACTAATTTACTATCACTGTTAGTCTTTTACTTTCAACAAAACTAAATAATTTTTAGAAAGAAAAATATTCACAGTATACATCATACTATGTATTGTATTACTGTAAAATACTTTATTTTAGCTGGAATTCATTTTCGCTGAAAAGAATTATTTTCACTGATTTTTGACGAGTTCAATGTAAAATATAGGAAAGAGGGTATATCAGTATTCGCTTGATTTTTATTTTCACTGAATCATTCTTTCAGCGAAAATAGTGAAAATTAATTCCAAGTATTCTACAGTACCGGGTACTACGTTTCTGCATTTGTAATTTTTTATCAATATCATAACTAAATAATTCTAGTATCTTGTTGATTCAAAAAAGCAGTAGAAATGTTTAAGAAACTTTATCATAATTTAATAAATTTGCACACAGGTTAGGATCAGTGTGAAAAACAACCACAACTTTCTAAAGATTGAGATAATCAATGTTATTATTATTCTTCATAGGTTTCATTACCTGACAAGGAAAGTCAGACTCATGAAGTTGAACTTGGTCCTGGTGAAAGAGAAGTGTATGATGCGTTATTCAAACAATCACAGTAAGTATCCATGAGGAGTACACGCAATGATAAACTGTTGTCCACAACAACGACTTTAGAAACTCTCATTCAACTCTTTTGAAATTTAGAAATATTGTAAATAACGCACCACGGAGTCACTATTGTGTTGTAGACGGATCTCCTGACTCACACAGACACACTTCTTAAAACCGCTTTATTTTCGCGAGAGACACATTGTAGCAAATTTTGTGAGTAAGTGAAAGTCATTAAATTTTGTAGAAGTGAAAATGTTTCAGGGTCTTACAAGTGTTGGAGATTTTTGTATTCATGAATGCCATTAAATCGTGAAAATTCCTCGCCATAAAAATTAAGCGATTGATTCTTTGGGATTTAGTTTGTGATCAGATTCAATGCTGATGACTTTTTGCTTCAGTCTCTTTAATTCAACAACCACCTCTAAAAGTGTTCTTCAAAAATTTCTGGCATTAACTGAATTTTCTTTTTTCTCTAGATCAAATTTTGTCAGTTATTTAAAACAACATGATGCTGAAGGTGCAGTAAAACTTGGTGCTGTTGGAGAAAGTGGAAGTACCCTCCAAAACAGCAATAGCAACCCATTTACAAAGACTGATGGCGGTGATACTACCGGTATTAAGATTATAATGCCTAATGCAAAGCCTGGAACACAGAATATGGCTCATGTACTGGTGTGGTTGCTGAGACTGAGGCAATGTTGTGGTCATCTCAGTCTTCTGAAAGAGGTAAGGATCCATTTACAGGTGAAAAAACTGCCAAAATAATTTAATTTCTTATTTGGAAATGCAAACCAAGTGATATTGATGTGGTATTGGGTGAGTGCTATGAACTGAAATGGAAGGCCGAGCCATGGTAGTGATGGTGCATACAAATCATTTGAAGGTTTAGTCAGTATATCACTTCAATACTGAAATGTTAATAGTCTGTCATTTTTACCATACAGTTTTTCAAGCTGTTAAGTGCGTTAAAATGTGCAAAATATTGAACCACCATTTTAGCGTGTAAAATAGTGGAGTTTAACCTTCTCACCACTAGTTCCCTCCTTTCATCACAAATTCACGAAATAGTCCCATTTGTAGTCTGTAATTTCCTTCAGAAGATTGGAACAAAATAGACAAATTTTTTGAGTAAAAATTGACTCAAATTTTGCTTGTTGGTTCCAAAATTAGTGTTCATTTCCAGAAATATGGAAGAATATAAGAAAAAAGGGCAGACAAATTTGACCAAGAAAGTCTGGTGATGAAAATGTTAAACAGTTAACAACAGAGTTTTTATTGACTTTCAGGCTGTGGATATAGAGTCGTGTTATAGTGATGGTGTTGACTTGTCACTAGTAGACCAAATGAAAGACTTGTGTGTTGATGAGAGCAAACCAATCGATAGTGAGATTTCATCTGGAATTGTTAAAGACAAATCTTTGTTATTTGAAGTTAGTGCTATGAGTACAAAGGTATGTTCATCTACGGTATTGTTTATGTTTTAACCCCCCCCCCCCCATTTGTGTGTAAATTACTTGTAGACGCTACAGCTTATTAGAAATAAAACTTTTCTTTAAAATAGTCCCAGTGTCCTTCCCCAGCTAAATACCCAAACATGGTGGCTGATTTGCATAATAATAACTAGATTACATATTCCTGGGACTATTGTTCTTTCGTTACAATACAGATTATTAACGTAATCATTAATCAGTCATTTTCTTGAAAGAATTATGCTTGAAATGCTTGTTTGTCATCTTTTTATTTTGTTTGTATGGAGCTTATTTTCACTGATTTTTGACGAAAAAAATACTTATTTGTTTGATTTTATTTTCACTGAATCATCCCTTAAGCAAAATTAGTGAAAATAAATTATTCTACAATACATGAACCGATACCCTGGTATGATGAATAAACATGAAAATTCAGAAAGCACATGGTTTAATAAATAAACGCAATGTTAGCATTGAAATTTTATCTTAGCAACACATTTTGGTTTTCATATGCCTCTATTGAAGATATTGCTTTAGAAGATAAAATGAGTTTAATATGCATGTGATAATTTTGAATATTAAACAATTGAATTCAGTACTCCGTAAAAAGCCATATTTGCGTTCATTCAAAAACATATCAGCACTGATTCAAACATTTGAATTTTACCTAATTTGGGGTAAACTGTCTCCGACATTTATTTATTCTTTACATTGGACACTGAAGTGATGTAGCGGGGGTAGCACATGATAGAAATAGAATCTCTCACTGAATGTCAATGTTAGCAAAACATTTTATAAAAGATAGGATCTTTCATTAAATTATTACTACAAGTAAAATGATGTATGAGAATACCGCAAAATATGCACTCGGGCAGTACAGGGTCGCAACATCCTCTGTTACTTATTGGTAAATATAATACTCAACAATAATAGATCAGACGATCCCCAGTAGCTAGTATTGCGGGTTGATAATATGCAAATAGCACAAAGATTTTCACAACAATACACCTGGTCAGTTCTGTGATATTTATTCCAGCGTTTCGCCCTAGAATTAGGGCTTCTTCAAGAAAACTCTGTTGGGATACCGTGAGATG